TTGGAGAGGTGTGAATGCAAATTCAATCGAACTCTAAACTGCCTACACAACTGTAGCACAGGGCATTCTGGGTAAATGCAACCAAAACAAATGTGCTAGCTTAGCGCTAGCAGCAGAAATGACTCATGATCTGTAGCCAAAATGAGAGAAATCCCCCAACTGTTAAAATCTTCTGTCCTGTTTATACTTCGTTCAGAAGGAAGTTGCGCTCAGTGTCGTCTTCAGAGGTTTTAGGGTCGTTTCCTTCAGGAGTTTTTGTTGCAGCGCCCCACAGGCGAGGAGGGCAGCCAGCTGCTTAAAGTGTTTGGTTGGTTTGACTCAGTGTTGTGTGAAAGAGCAGCAGCTGAAAATGTAACAAACGTTGCAGTTTTGGTCCCCAATTGAACTGATTTTCTACCAAACTATCAGGTGTGAAAACATCATCAGATTGTTTTTTGAATTTATAAATAAGTTTGGGTTTACAAGGCTTTTAAATGTCTCTTTAACAGCAGCAGGATTTATTTATTTTTTCTGGAAACTTTCTTAACAGTGCATTCAATAAATCTATTGGAAATCGTCCAGCCCATCGATGTGAATCTGTTGGTGGAGCCTATAAACTTTTAACCAACCTGCTTGTATTGTCACTTTGTAAGGACATTTAGTCTTTTCAGGTGTTTTTTTTATCTGACTCACTATCTCAACTCTTTTCCATTTTGTCCTCCATATTCTCTATTTATGTTCCTCTCCTCCTCCGTTTCTGCCCACTAATTCAATCACACCCCCACACATAAGCACACCTTCCCTCTGGTGAGTTATCCCCCACAGACGCACACTCTATTACCCAAGATGCACTATCCCATTGCGCGCCGGCCTTTTCATTGGCCAATAAAACAACCTGAGCTTTACGGCTCTACCGATTCGGAGTACATCAACCACAGGGAGCCAGGGAGAGAGGAAGAAAGGGAGCAGGAGAAAAATGGTGGAAAGATGGAGAGATAGCAGAGAATGGGCAGGCGGAGGAATTGAAAATGGTGTGAAAAAAGACATGGGAAGAGAAAATGCCATTAGGAGTAATAAAATGAAGAAAGATTGTCCTCTTACTAAGCCTGGAAAAAGATGGAAAAAGTGAGCAGGGTAAGAGCAAACTGTAGACAGAGGGAGAGAGCAAAGCCCATAAAAATATAGAGCCATTCATGACTTATAAAATAAGGGCCATTGATGTGCAAACCACAACTGCAGCATAGATGAAATAGATGATATTTTATTGTTCCAGCCCCTAAGTCCCAGCCTGTATAAATAGCTATTGATCCTCCATGTATTATTCAGCCGGCGAACTTTGAAGCCGGGAGACGTCAGATGCCTGTGGAAGTCAGGGCTCCTGCTCTGTCACTCTCTCTGCTCCATTTTACACTTTTGTCGTCTATTGGTTAAAGGTTTAATGCAATTTTTTTCAGCTTAAGAAGAATCTTGGACTTAGATGGTTTTGTGACAGAGAAAAGAAGTTTAAACATTTTATTTGTTTTTTCTCTATTCGGTTAAATTTCAGGAATTTGTTAGAGTATGTAGCTTTTATGTATATAATTCCTTTTTACATTTTTGTTAAAACTGTCACTGTGTCGTGACAGGATGGTAGGAGACAGAAAATCAGTGAAAAAAGTTCAGCTCCTCTGCCTTCTCCCAATGCTAACTAGAAACGACCAATCAGAGCCAGGAGGCAGCTATTAGCAAACACCTGGTGGAACTGCGCTTCTGCTGCGCTCAGTCTCAGTCCAACGCTCATAAGAAATGGCTGTAAACGGCACAATGAGGAGTAGCATAGTGATGATGTCCTGAAGGCAAAGCGTAGGAAAGAGCAGGAGCTTCTTAAAGAGAAAGAGGCCCAATTTCAACAGATGAAGGCACAAAATCGAATTTATCTTAAGTTACGTTTGATTATATTTTCCATTTTTACAACAACTGAAGGTAACATAGTTACTTGATTGTGCTGTAAAATGTTCCTGTGAAACCCATAACGCCGTCCCTTTAAGGTTTCTCATGCAGATGGAGGAAGGAAGATGAGCGAAGCAGAACTCCATGGCAACATTTTTCATCTCGCTCTGCCCTTAACTGAGTTACTCACCTGAAACGTCAAGCTTGAATATAAAGATCACGGAAAAATCAGCTGACATCCAAATCTGTCTAACCAGCCCAAACTCCATCCATCATATAAAGTGCAAGTCAGAGGAATATCTGTTGGAGAGGGGATTCTCAACAGCTGCTCATGCTGCATTCAGGTGCAGCTGGGACACCGAGCTGTTGAAAATCAAACGAAGTCTGAAGTAATTTAAACTTATTTTATCCTCAAATATAAACAGTCTTTCAAATCTGTGCTTGAAAATCAGACTAAATCTTTAGTGGATTCTATACTTTGGACTTTAAGTTTTAGAACATAATATAGTCAGAAATGAAGCATAATAAAAACATACCCATCTGTCAATAGAGATCTCAATGAGGTTATAAACCTTTAAATACATTCGTAAAATAGAAATTTAGACCTGAAACAAATATGAAACATTTAAAAAACTGCAAGTTCAATCCCACTGGGGGCGACACAGGGCTAAAATAAAAAATATCACATTTGGAGGCATAAACAGCAAATGCAGATAAAACTTTGGCACAAAAAAAATGAATTAAATTATTATTAAATATGTTTAAATGTTTATTTTCACATTCTATCTAGACTTTCCCTGGAGAAGAAACCATTAAAAGTGACCAGATGTTGTTTTAGTATGGAAATGCAACTTGTCTGTTTCAGTTTTGATTAATTTGGTGGCTGAGATCTGAAGCTCCATAAAGGTCTGCTTCTTTTCATTCAAATAAAAACTCACACTTGAAACTTTCCACTAAATTCCCAGAATAGCCACACAAAATGTGTGTGTGGGGGGGTGGTGTTCTCTATGCTGTGGACTGTAAAACACAAAATCCTGTTTTTGGTCTAGTTTCTATTGCAAATATCTTCTGTTCTGGAAATGTCCTCAAACATTTCCTAAATAAATAATACTGTACCTTTTATATTATAAAACTGAGCTCTATTCAAGTCATTAAATATATATATACTTTTCTTTCTTTGTATTTCTCTCTGAGCAGCGTTCCTGTCCGGTTCTCCTCTGTCCTGTCTCACATCCATGCAGACAGTCACACGTTCACACATCACCGTTCCAGCCTGCAGGCTCGGCTGAAGTGAGGCAGCCAGCTGTCGGTGCTTTTGATTCGGCTCTGTTAATGGAGTGACAAGGGCCCGTCTGACGTCCAAGGGTGTGAAGTGCTGAGATGGTCCTGCTGCTGCCTCGCTCCACCAAACACCCACACACACATTTCCAGCCTCCCAGCTACCCGTTTCCTGCACAACATCCATCTACATCACTTGTTACCACTTTTCATTTTGCTCTTTCAAGCTTTCAATGCAACTTTCAGGACATTCCTGAACCTTCTGCAATGATTTCATCATCCTTTCATGAACTTCTTTTTTGTAATTTTGTGCATTTATATTATATTGTAAATGATGTAATTTGGAATTATGGAGTCTCTGCTCAGTCACTGTAATCTTCACATTTTGATTTATTAGTATTACTTTGGCCAAACTGTTCCCAGTTGTTACTGTCACTGTTTTGATCGGCATGTAAACAAAAAATAAATCTGCCTCCATTTGGTGAAGAAGGAAGTTGCGCTCAGCTTCTTCTTTAGAGGTTTTTGTGTGGTTTCCTTCAGTTGTTGTCGCTGCAGCGCCCCCTCAGGCCAGGAGGGGAACAGGTGGTTTGGTTGGTTTGACTGCAGTGAGAAAGAAAACCACAGCAGCTGGAGATGGAACAAATGTTGCTGTTTTGATGAAAATACACTTACATATTTGTGATCCCACATGGGGAACTGCTGTTCTAGATTATACTCATTGGTTTAACTATTTGTAATTGTCTATGTGTTGCTGCCAGTCATGGCCAGGTTTGTCTTGAAAAAGAGATTATATCTGGTTAAATGAAGGTTACAGACATTAAAAAATGCTCAGACTTGGTAATGTATTTTGCTCAGATTATTGGAGAATGTTTTTCATTGAAAGGGTTTATTTAGGCTCACCAGTGTCTGCCCTGCTGCCACCTAATTGCTCCATTTATGTAGATCTGCACGTCAGCCTGAGACGCTCTCATACTGACACACACGCACTTTGTTGAAATGCGTTGAAACGCTCTTTTACCCCCCAGTCAGTAGTTCTGCTGCCATTCACAGCAGCAGCTGTTACACATGCATGTTTGACCGTGTCCATGCGTGGAACCATTGATGTGTGGAAAGTCGCCAACAGCAGCGACATTGACAGTTCTTTTAAAAAGTACCGCTGAAGCATTTCTGACGGTTTAGTCGACTGGGTCGATTTGTTCAGTCGGCTTCATTGTCAGAGTGGAGATCATGTGGAGACGCACTGACCTGCTGCAAATAGCTAACACCACTTTAACTCCAAAATTGATCAGTGCGATGTTTAACAGCCAATTTAATACTTCAGGATTGATTTAGTGGGTTTGCTTTGACGTGACAGTTGGAGGTGGCTGGACATTAAACAATGATGGTTGCTGATTGTTTTCAGCAGGGGATCAAACATGAAGAAAATCAAATATGTATCTAAGGTCCAGCTTTCTTTTGATGTTTTTCCTTTCAAAGAATAAAATATGAGTTGGTAAAAGTGAATTATTTTGTCAGAATCTGAAAAGAAATACAAATATATTTATTATAATTCTGGGGCTGACTTTATAAAAATAACTAGGTAGAAATGAAGTGCAGTTAGAACAGACAGAGTTTAGAATCATCCCAGTTATAAAGAGTTCATTTTTATTTATTTTACTTGACAAATAATTCATTGATTTCCAGATAATTTGATGTGATGGTGTGTCTTTCCTTCAAACTTCTTCAGCTTGCTAAGATGCTAACCTAGTTCTAGTGTAAAAATAAAGAGAAAAGAAGAGCAAACAGAATAGAAACGTCCTTGTTTCTGTCTTCAGATCACATACAAGGCCCTGAGCTCCCTGGATCCCAGTGCTGACCTGACGACCCAGAGGGGACGAGTGTTCAAGCTGAGGAACGAGACCCATCATCTGTTTGTCGGCCTTTACCCTGGAACCACCTACTTCTTCACCCTGAAAGCCTCCACCAACAAGGGCTTCGGTCCGCCCGTCACCACACGCATCACCACAAAGATCGCAGGTAAACTTTGTTTCTGTCTTTGTCCCTTTGGGGTTTTTTTCTCATCACTACAGCCTCATTTTCCAGCCACCGTTGAGCCGACACGTCAGCCTCTTTCTCTCTGAATGAGTCCGTCTCTGTTTTTGTTTGACTGACTGGCAGCTTTATGACATTTTCTCTCCATTTGTAATCCTGTTTATATCAACACGCATCAGTCCACATCAAATGCCAGTGGCGTCACCAAGAAGCAGAAAAAAACAGACCACAATACGACATTTCTACATAAGAATCACAGAACTTCTCCATTTTTCTTCTCGCTGTTTGTGGAAGGTTGTCCTTTGTCATTTTAATGGGAGAATGACTGATAACACCATAAAAGCTCTTTTGTTTGTGAATCTCTTTGCCTTTTCTATCTGACTCAGTCGTCCTCATTCTACTCATTGTTTTTAGATTCCCATTTACTTTGTTTTTATTCCTTTTTCTTATTTCTGTCTATTTTACTCTTTTCTTGTACTTAACCTTTCACTGTTGCTCTGTCAGTTGTAAAGCTTCCTAAAAATAAAAACTTAAATTACATTTAAACATGCTGTTGCTTTGTTGCTGCTGAGCAACAAAGCAAATTGACATAAATGAAAAAAGTACATTTTTAATTAATTTGCTATGTTTTTGTACAGAAACTATCTACTTCTGTAGATAACGAGTTAGTTACTTATCATGTCCCAAGTGTGAGAATTGATTAAACAGTGGTGAAGGTTTAACCATAAATCACTAAACATAAACATTAGTTCTGCTATAGCAGCACTACTGGCTGCTAACATTAGCAGAAGCTAATGCTAAAGCGCTAACTTATTTGTGTTGATGCCCACCATGTGTCAGTGACACAACATAGAAAATCCTCCTCAACAAGGCCAGGTTATTTGCTGCACACCTTCTTGTGTGCTACTTGTGATTCTTTGGAGCAGAACTTCAACTCGGGTTTCAGTTTTTTGTTGAGATTTTCTAACTCTGGTGCTGATTCAGGCTCATTGGGATTTGTTCAGAAAGCATGCAGTAGCTTTTAAACTATTTTATGATGCATTCTGGGTGCAGAATAAACATCATTTGCTACACCAAACGGTGGGTGGGGTTCATGTCGAGAGGAAACGGAAGTGCTGCGTCATCACCTGTTTCAAAATATCAGCATGAATATGAAAGTATCTTGAACACAGATGATGAATTTTAATCAACTGAAAGTTTACAAAAACCTGCACGTTAGAATTTTCTCCAAAAAATTAATTTAGAGGAAGTTAAATGCGTCAAACGTTTTTTAAGTTAGCAAAAATGCTAAAGTGCTAAACAAAATAATTAGCTCTGCTATTAGCGCATTAGCAGAGCTCATAGTGATTAGGAATCCTGCTTTGTTTTCACAGATATTCAGATGTGAAATTTGTGCAGTGAGAACAACAGTCCTTACAGTAGTTCAGTAATTATTTCTGAAAATGTTATAAAGTGTTTTTTAAACTTGAAACTGGACAAAAACTCTTAAATTTAGTTCATGTATTAAACTTTCCTGTCAGTATTAAGCCGGTTCTTCAGTTCTTCCACAGATTAAGCTGAGTTCAGTCCCACGTGTCATCGGCTTGTTCCAAACATTGTCCTTCCTGTCAACACCTGCCGGGATTTTTAGCGTGACCTTTCCACTGAGCCTCCTTCCTTCAATCATTCCTACTAATCTTAACAGCATCTTGATATAAGTAGAAAAAAAAACATGTGCCGTCCACACATAAAAGATATGTCTCCCTCCAAATGTCACGCCATCCTTAATCTTCATTATCTCATTCGGGGTCCAAAGAACAGCGAGATTTTAAATTAAAAGCTACAGATAGATAAAGATGGATGGACAGATGAGAAAGAGGTGGAGGGGGGTGGATTTGTGTTAATAACCTCCGTGTCGTAACAATCCCAAGTGTTGCTGTTTCACTCAGACATTTTACTCTGCACCTTCAGTATAAGGCTGTGACAGATGTGAAATTAAAACCAGGCCGTGCCGTAAAGTCTCTCAGTGAAACATTCATCTGTCTTTTCATTGCATTTTTCAGCACCTGATGAGATTATTGTGATCACGATATGAAACTGGAACGCCATAACAAAGTAATCCAAAGTTTGAGGCTGTGATAGGGAGACGCATTAACGGTTTTCTTCTTACAAAATGTATGAAACCAAAATGAATTGTTTGGGATTTCTTCAATCAGAACAGAAGAGGTTGTATGAATCGGTTCTGTCCCTACAGCTTTTTAGACTAAATGTGTTGTTACTCAAATCCAGCTGTGTTTCCATTACAAACTTATACTGATTGTTGTTGAATTTCTGCTGATGTCGAAAAAATACAAATTTACAATTGTGGTGTTTCCATTAATTAAGAAATTAAATTAAAATCACAGCGAATAAACTTGTTCATGAAATAAGTTCTCAAAATGATGGCAGCGACGGATTAAACGGTAACATATGGTTATAACTCAGTCATGGTGCTAATGCTCGTCATCTGTCGGCCAATCAGAGGAGACGTCAGTGTGTTGGTGTTTGGGTTGTGCTGCTCAGATTGGAGAGCATTACAGAGACAGAGCTCAGATCCTGTCACTAAGTTACATCTTTCTGGAAGTTTTAATTTGAAATTTATTGTACAATAATAGGCAAATTCAAAATGAAGGTGCATTTGGTCATGTTTTTTGGCCAAATTTAAATAATTTAGACTTGGTTTGGTCATTGTTCATGAACTAATCCTGGTTTTCATTGTTTGAAATGTTTCATTTCAGCTCCCATGATGCCAGAGTATGAATCAGAAACGGCTCTCAATGAGACGGAGACGACCATCACCATCCTGCTGAAGCCCGCCCAGTCCAGAGGAGCACCAATCAGGTGCATGTCTGAAGATCTGCTTTATTTCTCGGCTTCCTTCCCTTCATCTTCACACAGCCTCTCTACTTTCAGTCCACTTAGCTTCCTGCTCTGCTCCACGTTTTCTGCTCCAAGCTCTCCTTCCATCCTGCTCCACTTTCTTCTTCCTCAAGGGCGTCTTTTACAGCCATTAAACTGTTCCACACATATAGCCCAATTTGTATGCAAAAGAACCCAGAGAAGGAGAACAATTTTTTAAAAACCAAATTTGTCAGTGAAACACATGATCATTAGTCACTTCTGGCCTTAAACCTTTTAGTTTCCACCATATGAAGGCATAATTCAGAGAGGACACAACAGAATTCAAAATATGAACATTATTTCAAGTTTTAACTTTCAAGCTTTTCATCCACAACTTGTATAAGAAATAAACCTTATTGTTAAAGTAAGACATTGATTCACATGAATAATAAATGTGATCTTGATTTGGACGCAATTAACTATTTGGAAAGTTGAATAGAAAAGAAATATCTTATATTTCTCCTCATTGAGCAAATCCAGGTGAATTAACAGCAAAGTGATGGACAAGAAGGTGAAAATGTTAAAATAAAAATCAAGTACAGTAATGCTTTACTTAAGACAAATATACTTTACGGTTATTAAACACAACCTACTGAGTAGGATAAGGACTTATTAACTCCATGTGTTTTCAGGCTGACAGTTGAAGTGTTACATCAGGCATCTAATATTCTGACAAACACGTTTTCATTTGAGGCTCAGTTTGAGAATCAAATCTTACTTTACTTGCTTTAGAAAGTTATGTTTGGTGTCTTTGAGGATCAACAGGTAAATATTTTTGGCTGAATGAAAAGAAAAAAGGAGTAACTAGTAGTTGAATCTTCCATGAACCTTTTTATGATTTTATCATTTATCACACAGCAAATATTCCTCATGCACCTTATAGACGCCTTCATGTTTTTATTTCCCAAATAAACAAAGGTGTGTTTGTGCAAAATTATTGAAGCATATGAAATTTGCAAACTTCACTTACAGTCCCTGAATTTTAATACAGTGGACCTCTGATATTAACACAAATACTTGACTTATGGAAACATTCATAAGCAGTGGTGGGAAGTAACGAAGTACAAGTACTTCGTTACTGTACTTAAGTACA